CATCCATAAGCAAAATCAAATGAGTGTCGCACTTGAAAGAAGACAACAAGAGCAATATGACTATTTATGTGCACAAAACGCTCAGATTCTGACTGGCCAGAGGAGCATGAACGAGAGGTTGGATGAGGCCCTGTCTGAACTTAACGCCTTAAGGTTGGACGTCAGCACCCTTGGCTACCAGGACACCGATACCGAAGCCACACCTACCAGACGATCACGCACCAGGAGTAGAGGACGTGGCCATCAGTAGTTTTTTATTTATTTTCTAAGTAGTTTACTTTTTCTGTTTCTTTTCCTTTCTTTTTGTTTTTGTACTTGTATTTCCCCGCCTTTATACCGCAACATTGAGGACAATGTCGGATTTAGTGTGGGAGAGGTACCTTTCCATCTACCATAAACAAGTAATTTTTTACGATATTTCTCAGTTTAAATTCTTCCCCGCTTTATTTAGCCATACCGAAAATTTTTGCTTTATCTTCGCATTAGCCCAACAATACCTATCTTAACAAAATCCTAGTTAGGAAGCCGAGAACGATTCAACAAGATCGATACGGTTATGACACCTTAGACTTCCTAACTTACGCGATCCATTTCAATAACCGTTATACCTATATCTTGAGTTTTAGTTCTAAAGTAACTCCTAGTAGTTTATACTAGCAGTAAGCACCGTCTTGACACAAACCACGTGGGGAGCCGATGAATATAAGTGTTTGATGCTTGATCAATGACATACCCTTCTTATCTCGCTGCTAAAAAAGGAAAAAAGTTGCACCAAAATACAAGGTCGCATATAAGAGATGAGCAAATAATGAAGGAGTCCATTGTTGATTGGTTCAGAGGTATCTGGTTCTGAACTTGGTAGGGCGTGCTACGGCTCGATCTCCCACAACCTCCAATTTGGATAATATGTATAGGGTTGCCACATTCGTGTACCAGACCCCGTGCTAAAAGGATCAAAGTCACTAACCAGTTACTCCACTACGTGCATGCTAAGACAAAGGGCTTAATGTGACTGCGCTAGAACAAAACCGGGTTAAATAGATACAAGAAACTCTGGGCAGAATTATAACGGAACTATTGGATAGTTCGTTTAAAATGGAAGTTCACGACTTAGCCTATTGCTTGTGTCATTAGCGTATCGTTAGTGTTTCACTTAAGTATCGGTCGAACTGACGAGGATTTCCTGTAATTGCTTTAAAAATCAAAGGTATGTCATGCATGTGCGCCTGATAAAACTTGTCCGATCTTTCTAAATGATTATTTGCTTGAGGACAAGCAAAGGTTTAAGTATGGGGGAATTTGATAACGAGAAATCGTATCATATAATTGCTACCTTTTTAATCGATTTTCATACTGCATTAACCCATTTAACTCCCGATTGTTCCGAGTTTTTATGTCTTTTCACAGGTACAACATGTTTCAAATCAAATTAGTGAAAAAAGATCACATGAAGAAAGCTAACATAAAAGTCAGAAGAAAAAGAACTAATCTGCAAAAATTCTGCAAAGTTTGATGTTGTGACGGTCGTCACACCTCCATTACGAGCGTAACGCGCTCACAACCTGAAGGACGCTCGTCACACATCATTGACGAACGTAACGCGCTATTTAAGCGCATTACGACCGTCACCTCTTCATTACGACCGTCACACGCGTAATTCAACGTCATGCAAAACAAGAGACGTGGGCAACGTAATGGAAGGATCTTTTCAAACTCCTACAAATTCTCAACTTCAGCAACGACCAGTCCGGGTCTTCCTTCACTCAAGCAGTGCAAGTCCACGTTCCTAAATTTTCTTAACTGCAAAAAAATTCTCTTCTATAAATAGGAGACATTTTAATGGAACGAGAGAGTTGTTTTTTCTCTACAGATTTTCTTGCCGAAGCCCTGCCAAATTTAATAACAGTCCGTTTGCAATTTTTTTGTTCTTGCTTTATTTTCCCTTTTACCAATTAATAGCTATTTCCAACATTAAGAAATTGCTATTGTAGTCAGAATTTATTTTTAGCCTCAGAATTTGTTTCAAGTTCCGATTCCGAAGTTCCAATCTTGCCTACTTGTGGAAGAGAGAGCTTGAGGGATAATATTGTTATTCAGGTTTTTAATCGCATTTAATTTAATTTTAATACAATTTATTTACGTTTATTTATTTATTTATTTATCATGAATGTTTTATTCTTTCCCGATTATATTTTCTGTATGTCTGTTTCGAGTACTATGACTAGTTAATTCTCTAGAGTCGGGATGTGATAATAGTAACCGAATGGATTAAATTGTGCCTAAGCTAAAATCTAAATTAACTTAATTTCTGGCTGTGACTTTTTATAATTAAAATCAATCTTTTTGTTACGAGAGTAAGAAAGTTAGAATAGGTTAGGATCGAGACCACGAGAGTGTGAGGTTTTAACCGGATAGCTAAAGTTAGGCATTTGATTTAAATACAGCGAAAGCGCTTTAAAACGAATTAGATTTTATTAAGTTTTCAAAGAGTATTTTCTAAACACTTATGGGCTAGTGAGAGAGGCATAGGGCTTTAGGGGTATAATCCGAGATAAGACCACGAAAGTGTGAGTTGAGGGTTTTTAAACTGATAATTTTTACATAACCATCTAAGTTAAACATCTTTATATGCTTAGGTTCGATTAGATCCACTTAGGTTCACTATATTACATACCGACCGTTTTATTATTATTATTCCCTTAATTCGATTTATTTTTCCCTTACCTTAACCTCTAAAAACCAAACGTGACAACATCCGCCTTAGCTAAACTAGCAAACCTTTATAGCACTAGAGTGATTACAAAGTCCCTGTGGGTTCGACATCTTTTTATTACTACCGCGATATGCTGTGCACTTGCAGTTAAGATATCGTTAGACACATTAGGTCGATCGCACATCAGCATGTTCTTATCCCATCTATCAGAAAAATAGACGTTAACAAGATAAAAAATAGTCTAGTAAATATAATATGTTAAATTATCATAGAGAAAAGAAAGCATGTAATCCAAATATTGATCTAAGGCAACCACCAGCTACATGATCAAGAGCCATGCGTAAATGGTCTAAAGGCAGGCAACAAAGCATGGCATGTTACCTATAAGGTTAATGGTGACCCACTATACACTCCTTCTAAAATCAATCCACCTATGATAATTGATAATGGTAAACCCATAAAGACATTTCTTTATGGTCTCTCAACAGTTCAGACATAACTTCTTCTCCTAAATGTCAAATCCAATGGACCCTCACTTAGGCACATTGTTATCTGGCGGGTGATTAGTGTCTCAGATAGGACTTCTTTTCTTGCCTACTTTATTGAATCAATACTACCAAACTTATCAGCCAACCACATGAAGAGAAAACCAACTTGGTAAGTAAGAACAGAATTTGATAAATTGCTATAGATGGAGTTGGAAAACAATCCAATCAAGGGAAAAAGTGCTTCAGCCAATTTTAGTTCTTTGTAATAGTAACCCTGATTGTTCCAGAGATATATGAAAGCTGTGAGTGAGTGACATAGACCTAACATTATTCTGTTATTCAAAGACAATGATTTGAATCACATGCATCACTTGTACAATTATAATAGGATAGGATTTGATATGCATATGTCCTTGAGTAATAATAGCTATTACAGGTGTCAAAAATTGTACGTCTCATAAATCAATATAGAATTCTATATATGTCATATTTTATTAATAACTTGACAAATAAAATAGCTATATGATCTATCTAAATGGAATGAGCTATGGCATTGAACTGCATAACTAAGTAAAACTAAGTAAATCTCTGATCTGATATATAACACAACTTGGAATCCTAAAGGTATTATCAAGATTTATCATGTACATCTCTAATTCAAAAATAACATGTTTTGAATTGAGTAAAACCTACTTGATAGGAACTTCATAAATTATAAACATGGAGAATCATGTGCCAATTAAAATGATGCAATAATATTAATGCTAATAATAATAATAATTATTATTATTATTATTAAGGGGCGTTTGTTTCATGGATTACAAATTTATTCTCAAGAATGTGACTTTAATTTTTTGTATTCTCATGTTTGTTTCAAGTATAAACTATGCCTTCGAACTTTTTATTCTTGGGAGTTTGATTTGCACTTGATTTTTTCATTTTTCATTCCCATGTAATAGGATGGGATTCTTATATTCCCATGGGAATAAGAGATAACCTCCAACAACTTCCCACATCTATTTATTTATTTCATTTATTTTTTATTTTAAAATTTTAAATAAAATATATTTTACATATATTCCTGGGAACTTATTGTATTTACCAAACACAAAGATAAGAATAAAGTTCTTGGTAATAATGTTCCCGTGATTGAAGTTTTAATACTTGAAACAAAGACACACCCTAAAAGGATCTGAAATTGGTTTCGATGATTGAATTTCTAGACAGAGATAGCTACTAACATATGGCCATAATGCAACCAAATAATGAAGTATCACATATATATAATTGGTTATTCAATCACTCTTTTTCACATAGATATCATGATATAGTTAGGATATATCTTCAATTTTTAAAAACTCGGACTTTTGTTGTATGCTTATAATAATACATCAAGTGTGTGAGGCAAATCATAGGCTGGGAATTTGTTTCATTGAAGAGTAAGCAAATAAGGTAGGGTAAGGAGAATATGACATGTTTGGTTTTATATTATCGGTGATATATCCACTGACCTGAAAAAAAAACACACACACATATATATATATATATATATATATATATATATATATATATATATATATATATATATATATATATATATATATATATATATATATATATATATATATATATATATATATACACGAAAGCAAAAGGAATATCATAGGCAACCAACATCATAACCTAGTAGTTTTCTCAGATTCATTTCAATTTCCTTCACCCAGTTTTTCTAGTTACAACTATCTTAAACTACTATAACATCACTAGCAGAAGCACAAAAAGAGTGTACGAAAACAGATATGGAAAGAGCAACAGCAATGAAAACCTTTGAATATAACCTGCCTCCAAAATCACCAATCTTAAGAGATAGAGCTGCATCTTTCTCATCATATCTCAACCCCCAAAAGCCAAACACTCGCACACTCGAGGATCCCACATCTGAGCTCAGCATATTCGACGCACACAAATATTTCAACGAAGTTACCAACAATGACAATATCCAAAAAGTTACAATCAGCAGCAACAACAACAACAATAATAGCAATAACAATAGCAGAGTCTCGCCTGTAGTGGTTAATGTAAACAACGAAACAGAGAACATCGTTATACCAGATAACACAAGATACTCCTCTGCTTCTTCCACAGTAGATAGTTACTCAAACATCAGAAACTATAGAGCACGTTCCTTCCATTCAGCAACACCAACAGCTTCATCAGAAGCTAGTTGGAATAGTCAACAAGGTTTGTTATCTCACCCAGCAGGTGCTATCTCAATTAACATAAAAAACCCTTCAAATCCAAACCCCAACAACAACAACAACAACACGTTTAGAACATCACTTTCCAAACCCATTTGGCTCTTAAGGAGAAAATGTCCTTGCACAGGTAAAAAATCAGTTCAAGTCAGAGAAAAAAAGTCAACAGAATTACCCAAAAGTACTATCAAAATCCCTTCACCAGTTTCGCCATCACCATCAGCACCACCACCACTACCGATGAACAATTACATGGATCAAACACCAACTCTTGTAACTAAATCTCAAAGATTTCAACCGGTGGTAACAACCGTAAGAGTACCTTACACAGACGGATTTACATTCCCAGTGCTAAACCCTAATACAACCTCAACAACAGCGAAACACAAAAACGGCATCGTTTTGGACGATCCACCTCGAGAATCACTCGAGGTATTCCAACCACCGGACGAAATAAAAGTGGATATGAAATCCCTAAATTTCCCCTTCCCGCCGCCTATGTCGCGAATCGTCGTTGACGACGGCGACGCCGCAAGTGACGCGAGCTCCGATTTGTTCGAGATCGAGAGTTTCTCAACCGCAACACAATCTTCGTACGGTGCCGCTGCTTACCGGAGAAACAGTAGAGACTCATTTGACGAAGGATCGGTGACGACGGCAATGACGGAGTGTTACGAGCCGAGCGAGGCGAGTATTGAGTGGAGCGTGACAACCGCTGATGGATACGACGAAACTAGCTACAGCGGTGGAGTTGGCGGTGGAGGTAGTAGTGGAGGCGGCGGCGTGACGGCGGAGCATTGCAAGAGAAAAGGAGGGAACGGTGGTTTGTTAGTGAGCTGTCGGTGTGAGAAAGCGGTTAGTGTGGGGCCACAGCCGGTGAAATGTGAGGGACAAAAAGGGGCCACGTCAGCATGGAAAAACGTAAGTGGGGGTGTAAATAATAGGGCAGGGGGTGTAAATAATAGGGCAGGGGGTGTAAATAAACCACCACTTGCTAGGTCTTCTTTATCTCACAGAAACAACAACAACAACACACCTCGTGTCACCTCTTTTTCTTTTGCGACATAGTAGTAAGTAGTTTGATTCTGATGTTGATGCATGCACCCTTACAATGTTACATTACGTAATGCACGGTAAGGATACTCCGTTTTTAATGTTTCTTTGTTTGTTTATTCAATTCTCGAGTCTCAATTAGTGTATTTTCTTGTTTTTTTTCATCTCTCTTCTATCTATAATCAATACTTCGCTCGTTTTTCGTTTCGTGGATTTCTAACCTGTAGTTGTAACACATTATGTAGCCATGTATCTAACTACATTTATGTTTATTTTTCTCTAAAACTAGTTCAAAAGACATACATATCCACCATAGACATGGAAAAAATCGGAATCTGGTTAGATCCAATCAATCCGCTCCAATAGGAAAAATCCAATTTTAAATTGGCATTGTTCTTATATTATGGTCAAATTTTATAATGACTACAACTAAGAGGTTAGAGCTTAGTTATTGTTCTATTTTTATTTTTAATAATTTTATTATTTATTTATCTTTTTTATTTAAAATATCAAGTTTATTCTAATTATTATTCAGTTTTCTAAAGATATATATTAAATGAAAATGTTCAAATTTTATAATAATTTTTAAAATGATAAATATTTAATTTAATTATTAATTTTGTTGTTATAAAAAAAAACATACTTTATATTTTTTTTTTAAAGTGAATACCTTATAAAATTTAACCAAGTCATAATTTAACTCTAATAAGAAATAAATTGAAGAACACCTAATCGATAGTCAACTTCTCCTATTAAACTAATATATTTTTTATGTTTTAAGTTATAAATAAAATTTATAATATTATATATATATATATATATATATATATATATATATATATATATATATATATATATATATATATATATATATATATATATATATATATATATATATATATATATATATATATATATATATATATATATATATATATATATATATATATATATATATATATATATATATATATATATTGTTCTGGACTGAGCCCAGGTTGGCCCAAGAGTAAGAATAGGCCCAATCCAAACGTCTCTACAGGGGGCGCGTCGACCATAAGCCACGACCGTGTCCGCCACTGTCCGCGGACGCAACGTCCTCGACCAGTTACCATCCAGTTCGAGTTCAGCTCGAGCACCCTCCTCGTAGGGTATATTGTAACCGTTACACTCTCACCTGAACTCCGAAAATACTGCGTCCTCATCCGTACGTACTTCTCGCAGAGCACCCAGGAAGGAGACCACGTGCGGGTCCCCACTACACACGTAGAACCTGGCAGTTCCTTTATTGGGTCAATCCTGGTCGGCCCAATGAAGGGACCTTGGCCCAATGCTGGGGGCTATAAATACCCTCTGTTCCAAGAGGGTCAGGTATTCATTCTCTTACCATTCACACACCTTTTTGCCTGCTCTTACTGTCACTTACTTTAGCATCGGAGTGCCTTGCAGGTACCCCCCCATCTCGTGCAACTTCAGCTCGGAGCCAGTCGTGACGGTCCAAGTCTAATCAGGTAAGATCAGTGGCGCCGTCTGTGGGAAACTAGCTTCCCCGTCTTGCAAAAACTCAAAGACCAAAGCTCAACTCAAACCATCACCGTCATGGCTAACCAAGCTCGTGATGAACAAAACATTTGCGTCGTCGACACCAACAACGGCCTCGCGGATAAAAACGGACACCTTGATAACGCTGGTAACCCCGGTCATAACACCATCCCTGTGTCAACTGCCCTCGGGCCCTCAATCCACCGCGACGGAGTTACCGCTTCATCCTCCTCGGTCCCTCCGCCACTCGAAGAAGACGATGCAGCTCTCACGAACTATCAAGCTGCTCAGTTTCAGGAAGTCCATGTCCCCGCCGGGGCGGATGCCAGACCCGAGCGTTGTTCGCAACGATCAATCAAACGAATTACCTCATCTTCGCCCAAGGGGAAAGATTGAGGGCACTTGAAGACGATCGAAGACCCCCGAGGAGGCATCGGAGGCATCGGAGGCCCCAGAATCCACCTCCTCGAGTAACTGAGGTCCGTTTCCCATCTCCCCCGCGGAGACACTACAGAGATACCTCTCGAAGCCCGTCACCCCGACCATCGGGGAAACGGCCCCCTTTGGAGTGGCAACCCATCATCGAAGTCAAGGGACGCGGTCGCGCCCCCGCAAGGCAAGAAAGAAGACACTCCGGAGACGGACACGGAAGAATCAACCAACGGGCACCGCGCTCGAGAGATGTCCAGCACGACCAGGACCGTCGTGCCCGACATTATTACAGGTCCCCATCTTTGTCCCCAGAAAGAAGCGACGAAGACGACCCCCGCGGTCCCCTGTCGCAGGCCATCATGGAGGCGCCCATTCCCCCGGGCATGGAGAAGCCTCCACATCTGAAGGAATACGACAGAGTCGCGGACCCGGTCGACCACATAGACGGGTTCGAGGCTATGCTGCATTATCACAACGTCGGGGGATCCATCAAATGCCGGTTGTTCCCCACGACCCTCAGAAAGGCAGCAATGGACTGGTATAAAGGCCTCTCCCCGAGATCAATCACCTCGTGGCGAAACCTGAAGAACCAATTCATCAGTTCGTTCACAGCGTCTCGTCGACACCCAAAGACCGAGGCGGCTCTCGAGGCAATCGTCCAGAGACAGGATGAAACCCTAAGAGAGTTTATCAATCGCTTCAACCGTAAAGCTATACAAGTCCCCTGTGCAGACCACATGAAAAGATATCTGCTGGAGAGGGGGCTCCTCCCCGGCACAGAATTCAGAAAGGCCGTAGGCATCGAGCCACCTAGAACATTCGATGCCCTCCTCGAGAAGGCTCGGACGTACATGGACTACGAGGAAAGAGAGGCGGCCAATAGAGCCCGAGACCCCAGGACTCGCGGGTCCAGCAGCAACCCACGCCCGGAAGCTGCTCCTCCTCGACGAACCGGGGAGAAAAGAAAAGAAGACAGACCCCGGGAAGTCCGAGAACAAAGGGGACCCTCGGGGCGTTTTACCGAGTACACTCCGCTCACAGCTTCCCGTGAGCGCATTTTGGCGGAGTGTGCCAACACGGACTTCAAGGACGGCGGCGTCAAACGTCCCTGACCTGCTCCCGCCAAGCCCGGAGCAGACAAGAACAAGTATTGTCAGTACCATAGGAGCCATGGCCATCTGACTGAAGATTGCGTCCATCTCAAAGATGCCATCGAAACTCTCATCAAGGGAGGAAGACTCGCACAATACCGGCGAAACGATGCCCCCCGTCGTGACGCCCGGGAGACAAGAGAACCGGAGGAAGACGCCCGACCATCTGATGAGTCGGTCCCCGTCCATACCGCTTTCTCCGTGACCAGACCTGAGGACTTTGACGTCCCCGAACACCTGCAGGAGCCGCTCACAACACACAGCAGGTGGGAATATTTCCCCTCCGCCATGGTCATCAACAGCGGAGGATTCAACAACTTGACCATTAATTCGGCTAAGAGGAAGCTGAATGAGCTGGTCGACGCGGCGCCCCCGCAAACAGTGACATTTGAAAGGGTAAAAGGCAGGTCATAACCCATCACCTTCTATCTAGAAGAGCTCCCCGGGGGAGCCCCCAACGCGATCATCCCCTTGCTAATAAGGGAAAGAATGGCCAACTTCGATGTGAATCGCATCCTCGTCGACGAAGGAAGTTCCGTCGACGTAATGTACAACCAGTTGTTTCGAACTCTGCAGCTGGACGACTCACATCTCTCGCCATATGTAGGGTCGGACTTACAGGGCTTCAACGGCTCGACCTCCAAACCTTGGGGATATGTCGAGCTCCTAGTTACATTCGGAGAAGGAACAACGACAAGGCAGGTCAAAGTACGCTTCCTCATCATCGACTACCCGTCCCTCTACAACTGCATCCTGGGGAGACCAACACTGGCAGAACTGACAGCGGTACCCTCCACCGTCCACCTGAAGATGAAGTTCTACACCAAAAGGGCACGAGTAGCTACTATCCAGGGAGACCTAGCCGCTGCTCAGAGATGTTTCAACGCTGCATCTAAGGGATGCGACACTGTCGAAGTAGGGACAGGACCCACCAAAAGACCAGCGACGACACGACAGGAGCCCGACAAGCCAGAGTCTGCCAAGGAAGAAGTCCAGAAAGCTCCACCAAAGGTCGACTCTATAGCTTTGGACGCTCATTTCGATCAGGATGAACCTCCCAACGGCGAGCAAATTCCCCTCCGACCAATACCGGACGGGGATTTTGAGCTTGTCCCCCTCAGCGCGGACCCGAGTAAAGGAGTAAAGATTGGCAAGGATCTCCCCCGCTTGGCAAGGAAGCAAATTAAAGCCTGCTTGCGCGAGAATGCTGACCTGTTCGCGTGGAGCGCCGCGGAGATGCCCGAACTCGACCCGGAGGTCGCCTGTCACCACCTCGCCATAGATCCTGCCGCTAGGGCCGTAGTACAATGTAGGCGTAAGCAGTCTCCAGAGAAAACGGAGGCTGTTGAAAAAGATGTAAAAGACCTCCTAGAGGAGAATTTTATTTCCGAAGCCTGGTATTCAACCTGGCTGTCGAACGTTGTACTTGTTAAAAAGAATAATGGAAAATGGAGGATGTGTGTTGACTATACCGATCTCAACCGGGCCTGCCCGAAAGATGCTTTCCCTTTATCGAACATAGACATGCTGGTCGACAACTCGGCCGGCTACAAAACATTGTCGTTCATGGATGCTTACTCGGGCTATAATCAAATCCCGATTGTCGTGGGCGACAAACACTGCACGACTTTCATGACCAACTCGGGCAACTATTACTACAACGTAATGCCCTTTGGACTAAAAAACATCGGGGCAACTTACCAACGCATGATGAACAGGGTTTTCCATAAGCAGATCGGGGACATGCTCGAGGTTTATATGGACGACATGATCGTCAAATCCCGAGCAGACACCGACCATGCAGCACACCTCAAGGCGGTCTTTGCCCAAGCAAGACAAAGTAAAATGAGATTCAACCCCGAAAAATGCACGTTCGGAGTCAAGGCGGGA